GCGTCACGCCTAACATTGATGCACATCATGAGAGTATCACTAATTAAAGAACGAGTTCTACCGCTACGGCGAACGACAGCATTCCTACAGGCGTTTATAAACCTCGAGGAAAAACAGGTGAAATATGAAAGGCCGAATGTTCACGAAATTTATAGCAGCTACTGTAATCACTTCTACATTGAAAGAACGAGATGTTTGACAGCACTTATCGAATTGCGGTTAATCGTTGTCATGTTTAAGAATTACTGTTTTCCATAAACGCATACAGCGAAAGACCGTGTGTGAACAAGCATGAGCTCACTGCATTCGTGATTTGCCTAAAACCTGGTTTTCTATGATTGTCTCGGCCAACAGAAGCATTGCCATATAGCTAGTTATTGAACCAGTCAGTAACTAACACGATGAATCTCCCCCCACCAACGATTCGACCCCAAAGGTCGTCCTTACAATCTTTATTTTAATCGCAATCCTTTTCGTTTATTACCTGTTCATCTCAAACGCATGCTCACCCAACGTCCCACTTGATCGCAAACTTTAAGTAGCCTCCGGCCTCCAAGAGCTAAACAGAACAGAATAGTACTACAGTAGATGACTGAAGCACAGGCATAGAATCATTCAATTAATTTGCTAATCCCCAGAGATTATGACCACAATCACAAAGGAATCGCTACTCAAACGTTAGATCGGGACAGCTAATTGCGCGGAATAGCCATTTGCCATTGAAGTGTATGAATAAAAACCATAAATTATTGGACAAGGCAGATTGAATATAGTTCAGTGGTACACCATACAGACAAGTTGTCTCGTACAAAATTTCCTTTTGACTGTCTAGCGCATGACGATGAATCGACGGGTATAACGTTTCGTGGGATTGCGATATGGAACGGTGTCCCCAGCACCGTTCGGGGCTGTTTTTATCACTCAATGAACCAGTCTGGTGTAGGAGGTGGGCTAACCGATACTTATCCAATCCTTTTGTTTGCACTTGCACATCCAAATGCAGCCTGTGGGGTAACGGTTATTTCAGACCTACCGGAGATCTTTTGTCCCGTTTATACGCTTCCGGGAAACCACGTTTGGTAGATTGAGCACGACGAAGTGGCCCTTGCATTGGTGTGCTGTGATCGCCACCTCTTAGGATGGTCTACTGACATGCTATATTTTCACAGCGGAGAGTGGCTACCAGGCCCAACCCCATCGTTCTGCAGCACTGATGCAGGTTGTCCGCGACCGATAGCACACACCCCTGGTTATACAAAGTAACAGAGATTGACCCGCACTTGTGTTCAACTGTGCCTATTTTGACCAAGTTTTGCATCCTATATTGTTAATACAGATGGCATTAGTTTCCCAAATCTCATCCTTTTCACAGCATCTTACTCCGTCACGCCCCATTTGCACACCACCGAGCAATAAACGTTTTTGTCCGACTGTCTCAGCAGAAAACTATCATCGACCCAGCCATATATATGCGATACGGCAACACTTTCAGGTGCCAATTATCAACATTTGAAATAGACAAAACTTAGTTGATCAACCGGAATTGAACTGCAAATTGGCACTGGCAAAGCCTGTACGGGACTCTGCAATCGAACCTCACCTGATAGTTGAAGGACACGTAGTGTGCCTTGGCCTATTACCGCCCACTTTCAGTGTTTACATCGAAATGATACAGCCGAGGTCTCAAATATCTGAAATCGATTACTGGTAAACATCTCAACGCAGACTTAATCTCGTAAAACCCTACTTCCTCGGACAGGTGTGCTGGAAATTCAATCTTGATCACNCCTAAGTGCTTACGATGATACTAGATTGTGAGGGCAGATTTTAAAAAGTTTGGAGTAGTATTTGTTGTTGTTATCACAGTCAGTTGTTTAGGTGATGTTCTGACCGTTTCGTTTATCCACTGCGTTGTGGATTCGTTCTCTGACTAAGCGTCTGTCATTGTTTGATAAACAACAGTGAATCACGCATTCCTGAGTGATCGGATGTACAGAACCTAACAATATAATAATCATTTGATCATTTTTACTATCCATGAGATAAACAGCAGTAGTGGGCAACCGCACAGTCATGAGGCTTCTACTGGGGACCCCTAGTTCATTCCCTTCTTCGACCACGGCAACAAGGAAATAGCATGCCAACACAACCTACGGATACACATACAGCAAACAGACAACTCATACTCTTCGAGCGGAGTTGTTCGCGATCTTCTCTACGCAGTTCCACATTTGCTCTTTTCTGCATCTAAATAGCCTCAAATCCCGTGTGATCATGATTTGTAAAACCATGAAAACGGTCATTCGATCTTCTTCGTCTCCCAATTCGAGAACGTTATGTCCTTGACCATTGATCGAACTTAAGACGAGAATGAACGAACCCGGCGGTAATTGACCTCGGTTGGTCGGAGGGGGGGGGGAAGAGAATCAAGTCTAGATGGATCGATAAATCGGTTACCATGCTCAGATGGGAATGTTGGAGTGAATCATCGCACGACTAGATTCAGCCTGGGCCCTTAATAGCCCAATGGGCGACCGCGGTTACCTAAAACTTTGTGCTTCACCTCAGCATTGTTTGATCGGTTGCCCCACCAGATTCGTGCAACGCGATGTAGACAGTGATGTTCGAACACCGACAATCTATTTTTCATCCTGTTCCCGTGAAGGCCCAGTCTCTGCACCGTGTAGCATCGCTGACCGAACTGCTACAGCATATGCTCGACCCTTCACGGACAGCCGGATGTCGCGACGGCTCCACAGATGTCTCAAGTTGGCAAAGCCAGCCGAGCCTTCTGTATGCGTGCCGACACTTCAGTTGTGTCGCTTTCGCCAGGTGGGACATAGCCGTCCAGATAGCAAAATTGATCTACTTCCCCAATCAGGGTGAAGTTGGGGGCTGAACCTACCCAGTCTTGGAGCAACATTTTACACTGTGAAGGTGCAAAACGCATACCAAACATGGCTACGCTGGCACTCGAGCTATCCAGAAACTCTTGCAACTTACCTGGATCATCACTTAGCAGTACAATATCGTCTGCATATTCCGGATCAGGCAGTCTGTCATCTGGAAGCAAATCGATGCTCCTATCTTAGCACGAGATTATTTACTTCCCGGGTAACCTCCATTTCAGATGGAGGACTAATGTCCACTGGCAGCATTTCACCAGTTGAAGCATGTATAGGTAGGTATTGTGTCGACGGGGGCCAGCTGAACTGTACCTTGAAATATTCTGTCCATTTTCCCAGACGGGGTTGCTGAATATGATTCAGTGTGCCGTCACACTCCTTAATTAGTTCACTTGCGCCTATTTTCCTGGGGTCCGTACTCCTAATTTAACGAAAAAGATTGTGACTGTTAGCAATAGCCACATCCTTCTCCATCGCCCTATACTTCTTTATCCACCACTTCTTTCAGTCATTCTTCAGACTCTTGATAAGCGGGCGTTTAAGGGAATTGCGCACTTTACTGTATTTGGCATCAATAGCGATCGTTTTGCGTGCGTCCAGCAGGGCAGCCGAAGTCGAGGAGATTCATCGTTTTTGCTTACCTTAACCATATTTACTTGCTGGAGTGACCTCTCTAGGGATGCCGGTTGATAGTTAAAGGAAGTCGTGAGGCGCTCAAACAACTGGCCTTTGGAAACTGACCTTCGTCTGGTCTCTGCTCATTAACCTTTCATGCATGCTTTGATCTGCGGTTGAGGAGGCATCCTGAATAGCTCACATTCATATAGGCACGCAAACCAGCGCACCACGTCAGGGTGCAGTCTCGTCGTGATGAACTAATTGCATCACTTATCGTCATCCTCGCATCTTTTAACAGCCAGATTACATTCG